ATATATGTATATATATAAGGACGATCGTTTTGACTGTTGACCGTGACACCTTCATCAACAAAATGTAAACAATGAGAAAAGTGGAGCCGAATGCAGGATTTTCCAAGAAAAATGTACTTACTCCTATTTACAAACAAGTTCATGGTGAAACATTGTGTTGTAATTGTAATTGTAAAGTTTCAGGTTGTTTATAATATAATATTTTGTAAAAGAAAGAGTTCATCAATTAAATAGATTTGCGTTTCTCTGCACAAATATTTTAACTTATTGTTATTTTTGGGGATATATATGCCTTTTTTTTTTTTTTTTTTTCTCCTTTGGGATCAACGTAGGTTGGATACGGCCCTTGGACCAAAATGAGTTTGACGCCCCTCTCAGTGAGCTTCATTTGACTGGAGCTGAACTCTATGGGTGACGTCGCACTTATTTAGTCCACTTGTTTGTACAGTGTGTGCTTAGCGTGTGTTTGAGTGTTGGCGTGTGTCAGTGTGTGCGTGTGTCAGTGTGTGCGTGCAGTGTGTGCCAGTTTGTGCGTGTGTCAGTGTGTGCGTGTGTCAGTGTGTGCGTGTGTCAGTGTGTGCGTGCTCGTCCTGTGTGTCATGTACAGTGTGTCATGTACAGTAGTGCTGAGTGTGCGTCACTGGGGTCATAGCGTGTAACAGTGTGGCATGCTACCAGAGCTCCACTTTGCTCAGGCTCACAGGACCATTTGAAAAGTGCACTGTGTAACTTTTTTGGTGGAGGGTGCATCACCTGCCTGTCTCCATGGTGATGTTATTGTTCATTAGTTCACTTAAAGAGCGCGTATTATGATATATTCTGATATGTGTTATAATGTTATTTCCTCATCTCAAACAGACCTGGATCTGTGTTTAACACATCAACCCTGCAGATTTAGGCTTCTACTCTCAAACTTCTTCTCAAAACACCCTGTTCCACCTTGTGATGTCATGTGGTAAAACAGGAAGTGCTCCACTGTTTTTTTAAGCTCCATATATTTGAATCATTTGGATCATTTCAGCCGTGGAATTGCAAATCTCTACTGAACTAAAGGTAAAAGAAGCTGTTCACTTGAAAACTACAGCTACATGACATCACAAGGTGGAACAGCACGTTTTGAGCTTTGGAGATGTAGACAGACTAATAATAAAGGATTACTCAAACATGTGTGAATGGTCATATCTATGTTAATTCATTATTATTATTTTTTTTCCATTCAATGTCTGGGGTGGGGAAGAAAAGCGGAAGAAAACACACTTCAGCTGCTACCGGCTTTCTGTCATCTCGGTTTGTCGTTACGCCACAGACACAAACACGATCCAAACTTTTTCTGCAATTGTTTGGATGATAATTGGAGAATTCTGGAGCTGGAGAATTCTCTCATCTTTACGTCTGTCAGCTGAGGAGGAGAAGGGAAAGTGTCAGAGAAGTGAGGAAGAAGACAAACTGAGGTCCTGTTTACATGAGAACGCTTACGGGTCAAAACAACAAAATATTTTATCGGAAGTGCATCTGTTTAGATGGTGACGCCGTTTTGGGGCTTAAAAAAGCAAAAATCTGAAACCACCCTCCAGAGTGGAAAAGTTGAATACGCTCCACCATAGTGTTTCTGTCGACAGTGTCCAAGACGCAAAACTCTGGTCAGATCTGCTCACGTCGTATATGCATTTACGTCACATACACACAGTACAGTTGTCCCTCGCTTTATTGCGGTTCACTTTTTGTGGTTTCGCAGAATTTTTTTTGTGCAATTTTGCATGCCTTTTTTTTACAGTGTATAAATGTGTATTGCATTCCTCCTGCTGCGTCCTGATTGGCTGAAGGACTCCTGTCTCCTGTACAGTACAGAATGTGTTCAGCCAAATTTACATAAATGTTTGATCTGTATCAGTGTGATTCTGAAGTGCTGTATGTTTGCAAGTTTTCTCCCCGACAAAACCCACAATGTCGACGAAACATTCTGCACCGACAAAGGCTCCTGCGCTCGTACCCAAAAGGCAGAGGAAGATGTAACCAGTGCAGAAAAAATTGGACTTCTGATCACGCTGAAGGAAGGGAGAGGTTACACGAAACCAGGACTTAATTATAAAATATAAAGGTGACTTAATAAAATATCAAGTTAACTACTTCTTGGATTTGACATATTGTGGGTTATTTTTAGAACATAACCCCGGGATAAATGAGGGACCTCAGTACACAGAAACAAACATGTTGGATCATTTTCATGTGTCGGACCTTCGAGCTGCTCTGGCAGCTCTAATAAACTTACAGGAGGCTCCCAACAAAGGAAGAGAATCTGCAGAGATATTATTAGAGAACAGAGAAGGATCTGCAATTACCTCTGTCACATTCTGGATGCACCAGCAGGTGATACCCAACATACCCAGTCGAATTCCACACACTTTTGCATCACCATATGCATGTAGATTTGCTCCTGAAAACGCTCATCGAAATGCACAATAAAAAGTGAAGACAAGATGCCACTTTTACGTCTTCTGTTCAGATCGTCATCATATAAACGTAGCCTGAGTCAACGACTGCTCGACCTCAGCCCACTCCTGCATCCCGCTCACAAATCTGAAGAGACGTGGATGAAAGTCTGAAGCCAGGACTGGTGGAGCCAGATCATCCGGATCACGTCACAACGAGCATGCACTGAACGACCGGAATTATTTTTAAGAAGAATAAACGTTTACATAATCAAGGAATAAATTAATTTGGCTTTAAAATCAGAATAAACCACCCAATTACTTCGGAATTAAGTTTAATTCCGAATAATCCATTTCATTAGGAATAAAGTGTTAAAACAGAATACATTTTTACTCAGAATTAAATGCTTTTTATTTGGAATTAAAGCTTTCATGTAAACACAAGTCCAGGTCTGTTTTTGAGGAGGAACAACATTATAACATGGCTTGAAGCTCACAAGAATCAATTTTGCGCACTATAGGACATTTAAAGGTATAGTATGTAACTTTTTGCTTTATCGCAGTATCGCTTTATATTTATTTACCGCCACCTGGCCAAGTTACAGTCAGATCTGTGGAGAGGAGACCCTTCTCACAGTAGGAATTCTGTCTTTTTCAACGTAAAGGTTTAATGTTATACTGTGGAACATTCTAAGCAAAGTAAGACCATGTCCTGAACTGACCCTTACACCACAAAAGTTACAAAGACAGTGGATATACTTTCCGACTGTAGAAATCCTCTCCATAGCAACCCCATAGATACAGGACTTAGAATACTGTAAGCCTATATCAGAAAGCACATCTCCTCTCTGCTGAATAAAAATAGATTATAGATTAAACTCATAAATAAAACATGTAATATCTCAACCATAGAGATTTAAAGGAACATCCGTCTATTGCGTTCATCACATTGTCTTTGTCCTGTAATTCCCAAGTCCATTTTGACAGATTGCAGGCACACTTCCTGGTTGTGACCTCTCGTCCAATCGCACGCCTCCGCCTTCTGTGACACGCCCATAATCAGATCAGGGGTACATGACAAATGGACGAGGCACAAATAATGGTCAATATTGTAACGTGGGAACCTAATCATGATAATGCATTAGTTTTATATAACTTTTTTTACACGTTCAGAGTCCCTTTACAGTTCGGTGCATTGTTTTTTCACTCTACACTTTTTTTTTTGTCATTTTAAAGGAAAGGAGAAAGAAGAACATGTGCAGAAAGCTGTCTCTGTTTGTGGCTACCCTAAATAGGCTTTCAGTAGAACAAAGAGAGTTAAAAAAACATGACAACAGAGAATCAGAACCCAGGAGAAAAGGTGTAACTATTCCATACATGGCTGATGTTTCTGAAAAACTACAGAGCATTTTCAGACAACATGAAATCCCGGTCTATTTCAAACCTACAAACACGTTAAGACAGAAACTGGGCCACCCAAGGGACAAAACACCGAGCCACAAACAAAGCAATGTGGTCTACTCCATTCAGTGTAGTGAAGACTGCAGTGAGCGCTACATCGAAGAAACAAAACTCCTTTGCCGTGGATTCTACCTGGACGACTGAGGGATTCTACACACTTTTGAGGGTATGAAGACCCAGCACATTAATAGCAAAACAAATATAAGACATGATGAAATATAAGACTAACTCATTTAGACTCAATACAAGTGGTTGAATATATAAGAGTGTTTCCTCCGCAGGGTGTCTGGGCGCTCATTTAGAGATAGGGTGAGGAGCTCAGTCACACAGGAGGAGCTCGGAGTAAAGCCGCTGCTCCTCCACGTCGAGAGAAACAGCTGAGGTGGCTCGAGCATCTGTTCCATATGCCTCTTGGGTGCCTCACTCAGGAGGTATTCCAGGCATTTCCCACTGGAAGGAGGCTCCAGAGAACACCCAGGACACGCTGGAGGGACTATGGCTGTGTCCCAATTCGAGGGCTGCAGCCTCCGAAGGCTGTGAAGGCTGTGAAGGCTGGGTCCTTCGTCGGCCGCGAAGGCTGCAGCCCTTGAACTGGCCTCCGCGGACGCCAGGCCGTTGCGGAAATGGGACAGGTCTAGACCTCGGAGCCGCTCCCCTGTCGCCTAGCAACCGAGGGACGCTGCTAGCGCTAATGCTAATGCTAACACGCTCCGTGCAGATTACGCACACGGATCAGTAAAAAGACGCACAGGTCATCAAACTGTCGGATTTTGTGACCAAATTATTTTAATAATTTGCATCCAAATCTTATGGCCAAAACCGAAAATGTATGTTTAACTTTTGCAAAACAAAACGGCTATATTTAAGGGATACATTTTAAATAGACTAAATTATCTTAAAATAAAAAAAAAACTGTGATGAGATTTGCATTACTAAATATTATCATTATTAAGGATTTTTATATTAACCAGGGATTACATTTATACAGTCAGTTTGTAAAGAAAGAAAGAATCTCTCCTGAGAAAAGATGATTTATTAAACAATCCAAGGAACTTCTGGAAATACTTTATCATAATATGAAGTCAAATATTAAACCCATTACACACACACACTCTGCATTAACAAGTTAGTACAAACAGCTGTATGTCAGTAAATCTCATTGTGTTCCCTTTTTGCTGAAGCAAGTGACAATCAAAAATGAACAAATTATCTTTGCCAGATATGATCATGTGGAATACCACAGCTTATCTGCAGTACAATAGTACATTCTTATAGTACATGTAATTAGTTACTATCAAAAGAGACACCAAATAAATGGCACATTTCACCATAAATCAAATGTCAGTACAGACTGAAAAACATTCAGAAACACTTATGAGCAGATGTTTTCATTTCTGTCTCACACACTTGTTCAGATCATATGAGACTCTGGACCTCCTCCTCAGAGACTCTGGACATGGACATTGGAGACATGGACATTGAGACATGGACATTAGAGACATGGACATTGGAGACATGGACAGTGGAGACATGGACAGTGGACTTGGACCACTCAGTCTGATGTGTCTCTCGTCTTCTGGAGGAGGAAGAGCAGAATGGTTGTTGCGTCTGATTGATTCAAAGTTCTGTCCTGTAGAGTGAAAACCTGTAATGACACACACATTAAGAACACAAAACTATTAGAGGAAAATAAGTTTGACAGAACCTGCAGCCCCAAAGAACACCTGGACTCCCTCCGCACTATTTACATTTATTATTATTTATTTATACACAAGGAAGTGAGAAAAACTATTTTGATTCTTTATATGTTTTTCGTATGAAGAATTGACAATAAACTATTTTAACGTTGAACTTAAACTTTGATGTACATTCAGATTCAAAGGCAGTTTATATCTGAAACAGCTAAATGAACAGAGGAATCCCAGACATTTGAGAAATACATATTTCACAATTTAAATCATAATTTCAACATGAGCATGATTCATTTGCAGCTCTTAGTACAATTTTCAATGTAACATGCCCCATACCTAATTGTTGGCAGGAGTCTGGGTCAGCACCTCCAGCTCAGTGTTGGCTTTACTTTGTCATCTGCATTTGACCCATTTTATGAATCACAAGCATCTTGTCAGCCAACAGTTCTGTGGCTCCTGCAGTGTGTCGTGTCCTCATACAGGAGGCTGCAGATGAGAAAAGAAAATTCATGTAAAACAGATTTCTCATTGTTATAACATTAGATGTGACAGACCTAACAGACACAGTCAGGTCGAATCTACACCAGGTCATATCTACACCAGTGTCTGCACAAATCTGTTAAACGAGCCTCATGTCCATCATAAATCTGACCTGTCCAGGCAGGATTATTTACTCTTCACTTTACAAACATGCACGGATTGTTAAAAGCAGATAATGTATTCCCTGAATGAAATGCACACGTTGGAGGCTGATATTATGTGATTTACAAGTAAAATATGAGCTTTGATAGAGTCAGACTGAGTCTTTTTTTCAGTTGAATGTATGAAATAATGTGTGTTTTCATCTTAACTCCGAGCTACACTGACCAACTGTTTACATGTTTACACTGTCCGTGAAAACGTGGAGTTTTCTCCTCGTTGCTTCTTTAAATCATCTGTGAGCTTCTTTTCCCCGAACAGTAAAAACATGATGAGTGTTTGATGGAAATGTGTCCAAATATGAAAGTTTGAGCGGACTTTTCATCGCATTAGCTGCACATTACTAGGCAAACTTTAGCTCAAAACTCCGCGGTTCACGCAGTTAAAAACAAACTTATTTGACAGTTTTGTGGGAGTTATGGTCGTATTTTACGTTTACAGTTGTGTTAGTAATGATTTCCTAAAGTTAAAAGTGTTTTTCTCCGCTCTCAGGACCGGCTTTTTGCTCCGTGTTTTCGAACATCTGACTGCCGCCGCGCGGTGCATGCTGGGATACTGAAGGCTGCGAAGGATACTCGGATGTGTCCTCCGTTCGCGGCCCCATTTCCATGGAAACGAGGCCGGTTTTAGGGCTGCATTTGAAGGCTGCATGACATAAAAATGAAATGGGACAGGCCTTCTTTCACCGGAAGTGACGTATGCGGCCTTAAAACCAGCCTTCGGAGGCTGCAGCCCTCGAATTGGGACACAGCCTATGTCTCTGGGCTGGCCTGGGAATGCCTTGGGGCCCCCCGGAGGAGTTGGAGGAAGTGTCCTGGGTGAAGGAAGTCTGGGAGTCCCTGCTTAGACTGCAGCGTCTATGACCCGGCCCCAGATAAGCGGAAGAAAATGAATGGATGGATAAATTTAAAAAAAGATTGTGGTCACATTTTATACTGTGCTTTTCCACCTTCAAGGCACTCAAAGCACTTTCCAACCACTGTTGGGCAAGTTACTTTAAAACTGTAATGTGTTATTTATGACTTATTACTGTCATTTCAAAGTCATTTCTTGCATTACATTATTACTGCATTTAAAATGTAAAGATTACACGACTATTGCAGCACTTTTAAGTAACTCTCACCAAAATAATTGTGAAGATGCAGAACTTTTGCACTGTATATGGACTAAACCAGGACTGAACCAGGACTAAACTAGGTCTAAACCAGGTCTAAACCAGGACTAAACTAGGACTAAACCAGAGCTAAACCAGGACTAAACCAGGTCTGAACCAGAACTGACCCAGGTCTAAACCAGGACTAAACCAGGACCAAACCAGGACTAATCGTAGACTAGAACTTGGAATCTAGGACCGCCTCTGAGAGAACCCTGAGTTCGTGGAACAGGGTGTCTACAAAGCGCGATCGGGCGTCAGCTGTGGTTAGCTCCTTGGAGCGTGGAGTTCTGCGCCCGTCCTTTCGCTCGCGGTCACCTGAAGGTCTACGCGGCCGCACCTCCGGCATTTCATCGCTGCGAATATCGGTAATTTTACCAAATTTGTATGAACCAAAACCCACCACTTCAATCAAGGTTAAAAAAGCCTTCTAACGTGCAATATTGACATTTGTACCGAGTAAAATATTACAACTTTTTCTCCTGTAATGCCACATTACTGCTGTACATCCAAAAGCAATATATTACACAAACTCATTACTTTTATAATGCGTTACTCCCAACACTGTTTACAACAAGGAACCACTCACCCGTTCACACACATATTCATACACCAGTGTACAAAGACACTGGGGGAGAGGTGGGTTAAGTGTCTTGCTTAAGGACACAATGACAGCATTCATCTGTGGGAGCTGGAATCACACCACCAACCTGATCTGAACCACCAAACTTCCAAACTTCTAAGTGCTCTTACCAACTCTTACTGCCCTATTTATTTATTGTTCTTTTGTTGTTTGTAAGATACTGTTGTAGCCACAGCTGCCCTGGGACAGACTGGTGGAAGTGTGGAATCTGGTCTCCCAACCAAGTCGTGACTACGCCCAGTCTTGTTTAGTCACGAGACCAGGCTCTGAAAACCGTAAAAGTAGAGTATGTAAGAGCATCGTTATTATTTCATTGAGTTAAACTTGTCCAATGGAAAATAGTGACAATAATTAAAGGCCCCGTATTATCATATGATGCATTATTCAGTCTTTTTAAATGACTTTGGGGAAAGCGTCGAGCTCCCAAGAGAGAGACAGATTACATTTATATTACTCAACCACGAGACAGTGAATAATGAACAGAACTCTTCCCGTTTCCATGAAGATGTTATTGTTTTCCGCAGTATGTCATCAAACGATCTGTGAAGTGAAGTGAAAAAACATACATGCTTACTGTGAGTGTGATCGCCTTCTTCTAAATATGACTCATAACTCAGTCTGATGCATAGACCGAAAGAAGAAGGAGACTAATATAAGGGTGTGTGACCTCATAGTGCATGGAAATCCGACCGAAGTCCAACCGGTTTGGACAAATATTTAGAATTTACTGTGTTTTTCGGGCTATAAAGCTCATCGGATTATGAGGCGCAATATCAATAATGTTGGATTCTCTCGTCTGTTTTCATACATAAGGCGCATTAAGTGAAACAAAACAGTCAGATGAGTCAAACTTTATTCAGTTTATTTACAATAATTCAGTTCAGGTGAGAGTCTGGATCGGTCCGAAATTTTCTGTCCAAGCCCAACCTGTGTCCAACAGAGCAGTCATCGAGTCTGACCCGAGCCTGATAGGCGTTCACAAAGATATTTGTGTCCGAACCAGACACAATTCAAATCACGCTATTTTCACAGACCTAATGATACACGTAGGATATTGTTTCTGTTCCTCTAAGGGACACAGAGACGCAAAATACAAACTTGGGATATACCAAAAATAATGATTGATTGATTCGTTTTTATTTCGAGTTTGTGCCAAGAGAGAAACAATAATCATATATACTACATATACACTGTAAACAACAGAAAAGCACATTTCTCGAAAAGGAGTGGGAAGAAGAAAAACTTATATGAACCTCCCCTATTCATGACATAGTTTCAAAATTTATGTGGTTGCTTCTGTACATCATCATCATCATGGAACTTATCAAATATTTACATATAGCAAAAATAAATAACATATTATGCAAACAAAATATAATTTTAACCCCAACACTTTTTCTTTTTTTCCCCCCATTTTGTACTGTACACATATATACACATACACATATACATGCATAACATACACCCATACATATATGTATATATATATATATATATATATATATATATATATATATATATATATATATATATATATATATATATATATATATATATATATATATATATATATACATATATAACACATATACACACATATATACACATACATATACATATATACAATATAAAATATATAACATAACTTTATTACTCACCTCTCGTAAAGTGGTAAATTTAAAGTGCAGCATCTCATCCACATTATAGACCATAGAAATGGTCCTCCACAATAATGACACCTAGTCCACAAAACAGTGCTGTTAATCCAGTTTGAATTGTTAAAGGTAAAAAGGCAAGAGTAATTCCTCACGTGTGTTTATTTACATCCACCCAGCGCTCAGATCGAGGTGAAGCTGCAGATCCGAGATAGTGACTTTACTTCCTGTGGTCTTTATGCTTTAAAATCATGTATCTGAAGTTCTGCACCACATTTCACAAATAATAATGACACAGTTTTGACTTGTAGCTAAACTAGAAGTGCAGAGCTCTGATCTTTTGAACACTTAAGAGTCTCAAAGCAACTGGATTTACTGTAGACGGTAAGCAGCTGATGCACTGATGTGTCTGAGTCTGACTCGAGCCCGAACATAAGTTCTAAATATTTGTCCAAACTCTTGGTGAATGTGCATGACTCTGCTAGGCTCTTGACAACAGTAGCTGTAATGCTCCAATAATTTATCAACCGGTGCTGCTTGTAGCTTACAGTTGTCGTTCTAAAACATTTTGACAGATTTTTAAGTGCCATGTACCACATAAAATCGGTTCGAGGTCAGTTAGAATTACACAGAATCAGAATTAATACCAGGTTATACGGCGCACTGTTGATTTTTGAGGATATTAAAGGATTTGAAGTGTGCCTTATAGTCCGAAAAATACGTTGTGTGGGTTCGGGTGGGACTTGTTTTCAGACAGCTGTTTCCTGTCTATAGTAAAAGACTAAAAAGTGTTCAAAGATCAGAGCTCTGCACTTCTAGTTCAGATACAAGTCAAGTCAAAACTGTGTTTTATATTATTATTGTGTGAAATGTACTGCAATACTTCAGATACATGAACATATCTCCACAATCTGCAGCTTCAGCTCGATCCGTGCGCTGTGTGGATGTAAACAGACACATGAGAACTACTTTTACCTTTTTACTTTTAAAGAACGTCTCAAACTGGATTAACTAGGTGGTTTTGTGGACTGGGTGTCATTATAATAATAAATAATGTGGATGAGATGCTACAGTTTAAATGTACCACTTTACGAGAGGTGAGTTATAAAGTCTTCTCATTATTTTCTCTATATCCCGAGTTTGTATTTTGCATCTCTGTGTCCATTCATTAATAGGCCTATGAAAATCGTGTGATTTTAATTGTGTCGGGTTTGGTCGGAGTCGGACACAAACATATGAATGCCTATCAGGCTCGGATTGGATTTGATCACAGCTCAGGCTGGGCTCAGACAGAAAAATTCGACCCGATCCACACTCTATTCAGGCATAGCGTTCAGCTCTAGCCAAATGAAGCTTATCGAGGCTGCAGTTATACAGGAGAATTTGGAGGTAATTTCCATATTCAAAATTCCGACCTCGAGTCTAACAGAAACAAAAGAGCCAATTTGTCATCTGATTTGTTTGTTATTCATGTTTGTATCTTCATTTAAGGACAAAATAGTGAAATAAAATAAAAAAAAGAATCTTGAAGAGTGGGTTAATACAAACATT